AAATGCATTGGCATGGCAGGACTCTGGGCTCCATAAAGAGTGGCCAGCTTGCTGACTGTGTCCCATAAATTCTGTTCCTGTGTGGGTTCTGTTTTTTTTTTTTTGTCAAAGAGACCAATTACTGATGATTTCTCTATTTTCAGTTGAGTGCTTCCACTGCCCCTTCTCCTTTCCAGCTCCACCCAGCAGTATTTTATTGTCGCAGACCTGCTTGGTATTCCATAAAGGATGGTTACAAGAGACCTTAAGATCATGGCATGAGACACACCCACCCCTTTTAAACATCCACCCTGAAGCAGAGTTCTGGAGAACTTGAAAGATCATGCACTGTGTGTGTTATTTGGATTGGTCTTAACAACAAGGTATTTTGGCGCTTTTGATTTTGGATTTTGCTCTGGCCCAATAGGCGCTAGCCACAACCCCCAAAAATTCCTTATCCATTCAACTGGAAATCTGTATACCTGTTTTCCTTGGTGACATGCTTGGGCTTTAAGGAGGAGCTTTAAGCTTTTACTGTGTGGTTTTTCCTATCATCTTCTTGTGGCAAATAGTAGCTTGACTCTAGGGCAGAGGGTGATCGAGATGGGGGGAATACCTGGGGCCCCAGGAGCTGGTATTTATGCTTTAAAAAAAAATAATCTGTGGGTCATTTCTAATTTGATCACAAATCTAGTTTAAGTGGTTTATAAACTGTAAGAGCTGGTATTAGTGAATGGAATATTAGCTCAACTGCTCCATCTTCCGGTATATTTCAGTCAATGCACTTCCTAAATTATTGCAAAGGATGTGTGAGTTTTGAAGGAGGATCTCAAACTCCTCCTTTCTCTAGCTTATATAAGAGTATTGAATAAGCACTCATCTTTTTGCTTAAGATTATTTAAAACTGCCAGCTCAGGGTTTGGAAGTGATGTGAATGACGTAGAGTTTGGATGGCTCAGATTTTCCTCATGAAATGATCCAGTTTCTCAAAGAGACTGGGCAGTGGAATTTGAAGATTTCCCCCCCTCCTCTGAACGGCTTGCCACATTCTGTTTATAGATATTATTTTCCTTATTATTTTAGCAAATATGCATGTTACTTATGTAACTCTAAAAGCTAGTGTCTTCTGATCACATCATTTTGCAATTATATGGAACTGGATCTCTGGGTATTCATTACCACACTGGATATTCATTACCATTACGAGCCACACTTTATGGGGCCCAGAGTCCTGCCATGCCAATGCATTTTCAAAACACTATGTTCAAATTCTTTCC